TAACATTTCAAAAACATACATGGAATTATCCAGGTTGAAAATGATCTGTAGTTGTGGACAGATATTTCTCGAAGGTATGTACATCATCAGTAGATAAAAGAAAATACTCAATTTTTCTGATACTCAGGGAAATTAAATCAAAGTTAAGTTATCCCCACTCATAGAATTGGTCCTTGCCAAAACCACAAAGGTGATATGTGCTGCTGAGGAATTGGAAAAAGAGTAACTCCTGCATACTGTTAGTGGGATTATAAATTAATTCAGCTGTTATGGAAACAAGAACTCAAAAAAGCCAAAAATATAACTACTGTGTAATGCAACAATTCCACTACCAGTTATACATCCAAGGGAAATGAGTTCAGTCTTTATAAGGGATGTGTGAATTCTCATGTTTATTGCAGCTCTAGTTGCAGTAGCCAAGTGGTGGAAACAACCCAAGTGTTCATCTTCTGGTGAATTAACTAAGAAAGGGTAATAATACACATAGTGGCATTGTACTCATCCGTGAGAAAGAATGAGATCCTATCAACTGCAATAGAGATGTAACTACACATTATAGGGTGATGAGTTAAGCCAAGTACACAAAGGCAAGTATTACATGATCTCATTTACATATGCAGAGATTAAAAAGGGTGATCTCATAAGTTATAAGTATGACAGTAATTAGAGGCTGGAAAATACAGAAGGGAAGATTAAGAAGAGCTAATTAATATCTCCTAAAGTACAGCTAGATAGGAGTAAGAAGTTTCTCTCAGAATCTATCACACAGTGTAATTACTGTGGATACTGTTAATATATTACATGTTTCTGTATTTTAAAATACAGGATAAAGTACTGAAAGGTTTTCACCATAAAGAAATTATTGTTGAGGGAATAAAGGTTTAACTTGTTAGCATGTTAGAAATAACATGGTGTAAACATGTATTATCATTTAATACCTCAATATGATTTTGTATGTGAAATTTTAAAAATAATAGCAAAATTTATCTTTTCACACCTATTTTATTTATAGAAAGTGAACAAACTTTACTAATTTCATAATATAAATTTAGAAACAGTGATACTTCCCTTTAGCTCCTTCCTCCTGCCCACCTCACCAACCCACCCTCCTCAATTTGTTAAAAAATTCTTTTCAATGGCCTATTTGCATTTCACCTGCAATCATAGGCTTAATATCCACTGGGGAAAATTTAAGCAATAATAAATTAGGGTAAAAAACACTATTTCTCAATACTGTTGACACAGGCTGTACATAATAATCAAATCTTAGTAGTTCAGTCTTGTTTTATAGATTGCATTTTATGTACTTACAGGTCAGGGGAAACATGACATTTGTTTGAGACAAGTTTATTTTACCAAGCGTAATGGTTTACAGTTACATCCATTTTGTTGATAAAGACAGGATCCCATTCTTTTATGGCTGAGTAGTATTGTGCAATGTGTATAGACCACATTTACCTATTGATGGACATATAGGTTGGTTCCATATCTTAGCTATTTTAAATTGAGCTATAATAAACATGTTTGTACAGATACCTGTCTCTTATGCTAATTTCATTGTATCTGGGTAAATTATCAAAGGTGTGGTGGCTGGGTCTTTTGGTAGATCTATTTTTAGGTATCTGAAAACACTTGCTGTCCTCCATGGTCGTTGAGTGAGTTTACTTTCTCAGAAACAGTGGATTAGTTTACCTTCTCCCCACATACTTGCCAGGATTGACTGATCTTTGTTTTTCACGTAACAGCCATTCAAAACGGGGTAAGGTGAAATCTCACTGTGGTTTTTATTTCTCAGAATCTCTAGGCAAAATAATAACATTGAAAAATTTAACATGGCAGACTGAGAATGTCGGGGTGGAAATCTGTCTTTCAATGGGTTGTCAGTGTCTGTAGCATGAACCTCTGGGCCGTATGTTTGCCCTTATCTGTATTAAAATGCTTTCTTCATTGTTCTGTTCTAATTTGGGATTTTTTTTTCCTTTCTTGTTTCAAACGAATCTCCCGTATATTTTTCTCGAAAAAGGCCAGAAACTTTGCATACAAGTGTTTGCTAGTGTTGCTAATGACCCCAAGTTTGTGCTGGGAGAACGTTCAAATTTTTCACAAAATATTATCTGTTGATGTGTAACTTGTATTACCTTATGCTTATTTGTCTTTGGATAATAATATTGCCTTTGCTATTTTCTTTGTCTTTAGTGCACTGATGGTGTATTTGGTGTCTTTGTTCATAGTATAAAATGCAACCCTTTATTGGTGGTCAGCCAGTTCTCCAAAGCAAGGCATGCACTTTGTGTTATCAAAATAGAAACAGGTTGTCAGCTTCAGTAACAACTGTGGCAGAACCAACTTTTGCTTATAAAAAACTTTAACCCAAAGTTACCAATTCTAAATATCCCTCGTTAAATAGAAATACTTTTTCACAGATTTCATTTTAGCTTTTCAGTTGTCACACCTACATCATAGTTTCTCATTCAAATAGAAACAACAAATACTCTGTGAAAAAAAATTCAAACAGAAATACAGAGGGAAACGTAAATTATACTGGCACTACTCTTACTGTTCTCATTTCTTCTTACTAATTGAAATGTCTCCCTACGAGGGTGAACCTGACAGGGGACTTTTCCTCATTTGATTTGCTTGTTTCTTTTTTCCATAACTGCTGCCTGTTGGAACTGCACTTATGCAACTCAAAATATGCCATCCAGGTATTCCTGAATGTATATTTTATGGCAATATAGATTCGGTGAGTTATGGTAACCCTGCCTTTTTCTACCTCACCAGATATCCACCTACAGAAAGAATAGGATTAAAAGGTATATTTAGAGAGTAAATATTTCTCTTATAAGCTACACAGGACGAAACAGTTTGTAGAAGAGTGTGTGTTTCATGGAAAAGATACTACTTGAGAGTTTCTGCAGCATTAATTGTGTATAAATTTTGTTCTTTTTGATGTGTCCTTGACTAAATCACTAAATATCTCTAAGCTTCAGAATAATAAGTTATGTATGACTGATACTAGTTCTGTTTTGTTATGATATTTTAATATGTACAATATTGTGTTATAATTTTCAGTTCTAATTAAAATTTTAATTATTGCAAACTAGAAACAAGTACATTAATAATGAAATATGTTTACTATCTTAGAGACTGAGACAGAACACATGAATGACATAGTCCAAAAACATATAATAAAAGGTGAAAATCAAGCTCGACGTAAGAGTCACACTGGTAAGAAACATCATTTTAGAGTCCATATTTGGTTTATGTACCTTCTATGGAGTTCTGTTAAGTATTTATTACTGATAACAGGGCCTGCATAACACTACATTATAAGATGTCTTCTAGAATTCCCTCAAATTTCACAATTTGCTCTCAATGGGAAATCAGTTACCCATTCTCTGTGTGGTTGCAAGATTCTAGGAATGTCTTAATATTTGGTCTATTCAACCATGTATTAGTTGGAGTTAGATGAGCTTATTTTATCATGTTTCATCTAACTGCGCCCTCCCACAAATTAATTCTGAGAAAAAATATAGAACATGAAAGTTCAGTTTCCAAACACTCCAAAAAAATGAGCAGTTAGTATAACTTACAAGGATTCCAGGTGTTTTCTTTAGTGAATAATCCATACAAAGTTATTGAACAGCATGGGTAAGTATGAACAGAAATATGCTAGCAATTTCTCAATTAATATATGAATTAAGAGAGTAATGTTACTAAGAAAAAGAATATTCTGCAGTTGGTAGATGGAGATAAATTTACTATAGTGGCTCAAATCTGTCTTAACAGAGGAAATAATATAGAAGTCTTCATCATGAAAATGTTATCAAGAGAAGGGGAAAGCATAATAGAAAATCTGCAAAGAAATAGTGGCTGAAAATTTTTTTTAAAAAAATTAGTGACTGCAGAATTTTTTTTTATCTGTAATAGTCAAGAAAATTCAAAATGTATAAACACAAGGAAATCCGCAGCCAGATCCTGTGTAGTATAGTATCTAGCACAAAGATGAAAACTTTGATGTAGCATGAGAAATACACCAAATCTTACGTTAAAAAGCCCCACCAAGAGCAGTGGGTGACTCAGCAGCAGAAGCTTTGGGAACATGAAGGCAGTGGGGCAGCACGGTACAGGGCTACAACAAACCTTGTGGATGAACAGTCTTACTCTGCACGCAACAAGTAGAGTCCCGAACAAGAATTTAGAGAAGCCGCTGCTGCCGAACTGCATTGTGAAGAATACCGAAGTTCTTCAGGCTGAAAGCAGATTCACTCACAGTGTTCTGGATCCACAACAAAAGCTGCACTGTCAGAAGCAACTATCAAAGCAGGGAGTGCAGATTTTGTTTTTTTCTTCTCTTAGCTGATCTAAAATTTAACTATATATTATACTTGGATATAATTTTACTGTTGTATCCATAACATGTAGACGAGTCACAAATTTGAAAATACCAGTACAGAGGATGAAAGTGATGATTTCCCAGAATAAGAAAAGTATAAAAAGTAGTAGCTTACTATCACAAGAAAAAATATATATATATATTCACACACACACACACACACACACACACACACACACACATATCATTAATGTGGCAAGCATAAAGATATGTTTGTGCTTCTTTTCTAGTTTTTTTTTTTTTTTGTAGGAGATAGGTTGATAAAGAAATAAAACAGGAGTGCCCTGCAGGTCGGGGGCAGAAGCTGCCTTTCCCTATCTGCCACACCCTGTCTTGTTCCGCGCCTGCCAGGGTCTCAGGAGGCGGTGTGTGGGCCCACGAGCCTCTCTGGGGCCCCTTGGGTGGCACTTGGGGTGTCCGCAGGACTGAGCTGCAAGACATGGGAAGGTGCTACCCAGGACCCGTGCACCTAGCACCCTGCCTGCCCCATAGGCGTCCACAAGCAGTGAATAAGGAGGAGCAGGAGCCCACTGCTGAGGGACTGATGGGCGCTGAGAACAAGGACAACGCACACTAGGTCAGCTGAAACCACGTGTGCACAAGCATGCAGGAGATGCAGGAGCTGGACAAGGACGACAGCCTGTGGAAATACGTGAAGGTGCTGCTGGGTCATGTCCTCCGGGCATCCTGAAGATTTCATCCTCTTGGTATGCAGCTTGGTGCCTGATCCAGGTGCTTCAGAAGCTGTCCTTAGTGCTGAAGGAGGGTGTGGCGTACTGGACAAAGACCTGCTCTCCTGGTTGAACTGAGAGATCATATCCAGCAGGAAGTACATTTAACACACCTTCAGCAAGGCGTGAAGATCCACAAGACTTTCTGCATGGTGGGAAGCTACAGATCTGCACCAAAGAGTATGAGGTCTGACACCTGTGAAGGAGTCATCTGGCATGGCCATCTGGCATGGTCATCTGGCATGGCTGCTACAGTGTGTGTGCCAGAGGAACTCCTGCTTCTGCTGTCTGCATAGGAAGGAAGGGAGGGAGAGAGGGAAGGAGGAGGGAGGGAAAGAAGGTAGGGAGAAAATATTGTCTCTAATATTTAAGTTTATATCATGTGTAATAATACAAAGAAGAAAGGGTGCAGTTGTAGTAATGTTTCTATATGTTATTAAAAATTAGTGAGTTTAAAGCAGTTTCTGAAAATGACTGCGGATAGTTTAAAAACTCAGTATGTTAAAAACCATTGAATTGAATTGCTGAAAAGGACAAATTATGTAACATATTACTTTGAAAAGATTATTTATTTATTTATTTATTTATTTATTTATTTATCTGAAAGGCAGAATCACAAATAAGGAGAGGCTGAGGCAAAGAGAGAAAGCTCTTCCATCTATTAGTTCACTCTTCAAATGGCCTCAGTGACCTTAGCTGGGCTGGGATGAAGCCAGCAGCTTTGTCTGGTTCTCCAGCATGGGTACGGATATACTGCTATAACTCAACAACCGTCACAAAATATTGATGATAATTATTAATTTTGTGTGTCTTCGCTCATTTTGGTGGTGATGCTCCACCTCAGCCCTCAAGTTGTACAGGTCACTGTGGGGTATGTGTGGATGCCAGCATCAGTGAGAAGCCTTAGCTCTTCTGCAGTAGCTCAGCTGTCTCTCCAGTGCTAAATCGTAATTCTACGATTCCTGAGGCACTGCAAGTCTCTGGCCAGGGGCACAAGCTTTGGCAAACCAGACCTGACTGACAACATTTTAGAATCAGGAGGTGGCCCTTTTATTAACCTGTTTTTTAAAATGTATTTATTTATTTATTTATTTTTATTCTTTTTAAAGATTTGTTTTATTTTTATTGGAAAACCAGATATACAGAGAGGAGGAGAGACAGAGAGGAAGATTTTCCATCTGTTGGTTAACTCCCCAAGTGGTTGCAGTGGCCAGAGATGTGCTAATCCAAAGCCAGGAGCCAGGAGCCTCCTCTGGGTCTCCCACGTGGATGCAGAGTCCCATGGCTTTGGGCCATCCTCGACTGCTTCCCCAGGCCACAGCCAGGGAGCTGGATGGGAAGCGGGGCCGCTAGGATTAGAACTGGTGCCCACATGGGATGCTGACATATGCATGGCAAGGACTTTACCTGCTAGGCTACTGCGCCCAACCTGTATTTATTTTTTTTTTTTTTTGTCACTGGACTTAGTTGTAATTTTGAAATCAAGCAAACTTAAATTACATGAAAGCTCAAGTGGAAAGGGATCCAATCCCAGTGTTGGCACCGTGTGAATGCATCTGCCTGTCCTCTCTGGGTGGAGAACTACACATTCTTAATGCACATCAGAGGACACTTTCTCCAGACTCACAAGATTATTGTTAATCATTTACTAGAATAACACTTTAGAGTTATGTAACCTGAAAAGAGCTAATGTGTTCCTGGAGGGCTTATATGTTCTATCACATAGTGTCTTTCTGTGATATTGAATTATGAGTAAAATTATATTCCACAGTTTTAGATATGTCTGTATATATGAATTTTAATGTGATATTCCTTGAAAGCTATATTGCTATCAATTCGCCAGCATGATTTCAGTTTGCACAGGAAGTAACACTTTATAGAAAAAGCAATGGTTAAGAAATTTTGAGATGACCATTTTGCATCAATATTGTCAGTACCTAAATATGTGATTTTGTTAAAAATCACTAAGTTTTCTAATCCCCAAGTAAGTGAGGCATGTATGATCAGAATACTTCTAATTCAATGATTTGTTTGCTTTTGCAATACAGATTTTAGGTCATTCTTATTTAATAGCAAATGCTCATTAACTCGTCAATGCCTGTATATATCACCCTGTACTTATACACAGAGAGATTAAGAGAGAATGAGAGAGGGAAAAAAATATTAACCTTTAAAGTCTTTTTAAGATGCGTTTTATTTTTATAGAGACTACAGCAGAACATGTGACAAAATATTTTGGAAAAGGTATAAGAAAGGGACCATTCAGGACACAATTCAAGAGTCGTACAGGTAAGGACAAGAATTTTCAAATCTACCATTCATTTTAACCTAACTTCTCTTGAATTAAGGATGGGTATTTGATGGCAACTCTGTAAGTTAGTATTAGGTAGAGAAACATCTCCATGGATTTTTTTCCATGATTAGTAGAACTCTATCATTTACTATCAGTTATTTATTTTCTAAATCATTAGGTTAAAATTTATCCATTCATGAAGAAAGTAATAAAAAACAGTGTTATTGAGCCCACTGGGGTGGCATATCAGGTTAATTCTCTACTTACTGCATCAGGATCTCATATAAGCATCAGTTGTAGTCCTGGCTGTTCCACTTCCAGTCCATCTCCATGCCAATGGCCTGGGAAGACAGGGAGGGATGCCCCAAACACTTGGACTCCTGCACTTACTGGAATGCCTGGAAGGGGTTCCTGGAACTCAGCCTTGGACTAACCCAGATCAGGTCATTGTGGCCCTTTAGGGAGTGAACCAGTGGATGGAAGATCTCTTTTTTGGCTGTGAATTTCAAGTAAAATAAATAAATCTTTAAAAAGAACCTTAGTGTAACCTATATGTGTATTAGGTGCAATTATTTCAAATTATATTTGATATTGTATGTTTCTGGCTCAGACAGAAAGTTGCTTTTAATTGGAAAGGCAGAAATACAGCTGGTGATGAAGCGAAGGATTATCCTACACTGTTATTTCATCATGTTTATAGTATCTGTGGCAGAGATCTTGGTTTTTGCTAGAGGGTTTAGTGATTATGTAACTAATTTAGTTGTGATACAACAGACTTTTCCTTGTCCATCAGCCAAGTATGAGAAGAGGCAGATGTAGCAGACACATATATGGGAGAGAGGCAGTTGAAGAGGGTGCTGCTGTAACCACATCATCTGGAGTTTCCATTGCGCACACCTGTGCTGTGCGCTTAAAGAAACAGCATAGAGACTCACAACAGTGTAGGGAAGTGGACTTTGGGGAAAAAAAATCACAGATATTTAAACAAATAAAGAAAGCAAGAATCCATGGAAGGAGATAAATCAGTATTTATATTTTCTTTAATATATTATCTCACCTATCCAGTTTTCAACTTAGTTATAGATAATTAAAAACAGAAAAATGTTGCCTGTGAACAAGGAAACGAATTTAAAAGTGCATGTGAAAGTCACAAATGTTGACCATAATAGTGAAATATAACAAGTATAAATATACTTAGAGAAATTTTCAAAAACCTCAAAAATGAAAAGAGGGAAGTTAGAACGTATATGAAGCTAGCACACATTTAAACAGCAATGGAAATGTTCAACAAAGTAAAAGAAGCAACCGTAAGAATAGGAGAAAATATTTACAGAATATGCAACTGATGAAAGATTAATATCCAAGAGCTGTAAAGATCTCAAGAAACTCAACAACAGAATTACGACCAGTCAAGAAATGGGCAAAGGACATGAACAAACATTTTTTAAGTGATGCCAGACATTTTTATAAATGATACTGACACACACACACACACACACAAAATGTTCAAGATCACTAGCCATCAGGAAAATGCAAATGAAAACCACAAAAAGTTTTAAACTCAGCCCAGTTAGAATGGCTATCATACAAATATCAAATGAAGTTCAAATGCAGAGAACGTGTGATGAAAAGGTACCTTAATCCTCTGTTGTTGAGAATGTAACTAGTATTGCTATTGTAGAAGACAGTATGGGGAAGCTCCAAAGATCTGAAAATAGATGTATATCCCAGCCATGCCAATCCTGGGAATTAACCCAAAGAAAATGAAATCAGAATAGGAAAGAGATACCTGTATCCCATGTACAGTGCATCTGAATAGGTAGGTAAGATACAGAATCACCATAGATATCCAGTAAAGGAGAACTGAATAAGGAAAAAGTGATATATACACACTACAGAATAGTACTCATCCATTAAAAGGTATGAAATCCTGGTCTTTCCAACCAAAAGTTATGCTTGATGAAATAAGCCAGTATCATAAGCACATAGATCTTATGTTCTCTGTTATGGCAACCGATGTAGAATACAAAAAGAAGTTGATGCATCCAGAAAGCAGTATTTTTGGTGAAATAAGCCAATCCCCACAGTAAAGTTGATTCCCTGTGATATCTGTGTCTACAGGCGCCTAACTTCCGTCACCAGCTTTCAGTGTCAAATGTCAGGTCCCTTGGGTGTTCCAAGTTCCCTGTGCTAATTGTTCCTTTCTTAATATCAATTCCATCTGAATAATTTTCATGTCCTTTTGAAGTTTAAAATCTAGCCAAATATTCTTATTGCACAATAACCCAAAAGTACTTCAATCCCAAATGCATTTACTCCATTTTCTCCAGCTACAGAGTTTATTAACTGAGGGGAGCACGTAGGCCTTTTCACAACACAGAATCACTTATCACTCTTGTGTAGCAATGACGTTTACTTGATTCCTAATTTCCAACTTAAAAATACTTTGAAATCTCTTTTGATTCTACAGAGATTGAAACAGAACCTATAGCAAATGTTGTTGGAAGAAGTGTAATAAAGGGACCCAGCAAATTGCAGTTTAAGAGTCACCCCGGTGAGAAATAAAGCTTTTTTTTCTATTTATTATTATTATTTTATGATGTCGTTCCATTTCTCTTACACCCTCCCTAAATCTACTCTCCACCAATGAGTTCCCTTATATAGTTACACTGGACTTACATGAAAAGTCACAAGTCCATCGTTGCAGGCATGGATCATGGCAGAGTCCAGCATCCTATTGTCAGGATATGTTGAAGAGTTTCACTGGGAGTCCATCTTTAGTCTGAAAGTAGAGGTGCCTACTGAAATGTGTACTAACATTTGGATATGATAGTCTGTTACAGTTGCTATACATCCCCTTAAAGGAAAAGCCGTAAAACAGTGAACAACAGGAAATCTTTTTTAAAACGATTTACTTATTTTTATTGGAAAAGCAGATATACAGAGAGGTGGAAAGACAGAGGAACATCTTCCATCCAATGACTCACTCCCCAAGTGGCCGCAATGGCTGGAACTGAAATGATCTAAAGCCAGGAACCAGGAGCTTCTTCTGGGTCTCCCATGCAGATACAGGGTCCCAAAGCTTTGGGTTATCCTTGACTGCTTTCCAGCACCCATTTGGGATCCTGGTATATGCAAGGCAAGGAATTTAGCCACACTGGCTACTGCACCAGACAAAAAATGGAAGTTATATAACATGCTGTTAAAAGGCTGATATGGCGTTGAAGAAATGAAAATCAAGAACCTTCTTGAAGAAAATGATACTACTATGTGACCTATGAATCAGTGAGGAATTTAACAGGAGAAAAAAAAAAAAGCAGTTTTAGGGAAATGAAAATACAAAAACAGGGCCCGGCGCGGTGGCTCAGTAGTTAAGGTCCTCGCCTTGCACGCCCGGGATCCCATATGGGCGCCGGTTCTAATCCCGGCAGCCCCGCTTCCCATCCAGCTCGCTGCTTGTGGCCTGGGAAAGCAGTCGAGGACGGCCCAAAGCTTTGGGACCCTGCACCCACATGGGAGACCCGGAAGAGGCTCCTGGCTTCGGATCAGCATAGCATCGGCCGTTGCGCTCACTTAGGGAGTGAATCATCGGACGGAAGATCTTCCTCTCTGTCTCTCCTCTCTGTATATCCGCCTTTCCAATAAAACATAATAAAAGCAAATCTTTAAAAAAAAAAAAAGAAAGAAAATACAAAAACATCAAAATCCATGAAAGAAGTTTGCTTTGGTTGTTGTGGGTGAGATGTGTCTCCTTTAGGCAACAGATATGTGGGTTTTTTTTTTTTTTTGATCCAGTCTAATAATCTATGATGTTTAATTGATTGGTTTAGGCCTTTTACTCCCAAGGTTAATATGAATAGGTGGTGATTTGGTCCTGTCACTTTTATCGATGGTTGTTCATTGTTTGATTTAGACCTCTGTTGTTATTTTGACTGGGATGCTCTTCAGATTTTCCTTTGGTTTTGGTGCGTGCCATTGCTTTTCTCTGTCGAGAGAACATCTTTCAGCATTATTTGTAGGGCAGGTTTAAAAGAGGTGTAGTCCTTGAGCTTTTCTTTACTGCTTGTCTGCTGCTGCCACCTTGTGGGTGATTAAAGTTATTACTTTCCTTGTTCAATTACTCTCCAGCTAGCTGAATCTAGGAGGTTTTGCGGGTCAGGTTTTGTAACCTCAGCCTGCAGATGCGTTTTTCAAGGTAGAGGTGTGGAGGTGTGTCTGCGGCCCATGAGAATGTGTTTGAAAGTGTGCTCCTGAGTGTACACCCAGCAGACTCTCCCCACTGACTGGCTCTGAGGAGACCCACGCCCCTCATGGTCTCCATCAAGGTGCACTGTGTGCTCCAGGCACCTGTGCCCCTTCCCACCAACCAGGCAGCTGTACAGTATTGCTTGTCCTCTCTGTATCACTGTGACTGGGCTGAAGCTCCCCCCGGTGTACCTGGGGGCCGAGTGGGTGTTTGGCAGGGCTGGGTTGGGGCACAGCACTCATTGATTTGCTGAAGATAAAGGGCAGAACAAATTGATCAGCTACTCCGCTGAAATCTGACGGAAAATATCTGGGCCAGTGGAGATTCAGAAGTGGACTATGACAGCCAATTGACCTTGGAAAGTGTTTCTCACCCTTGGAGAGGTGTTAGCAGGCAGCAGCAGCGTCTCAGAACTGTTGATACCACATGAGCAGAACCCTAGCTATAGGACCTAACGACAATTTGCATACTCTGTAAAGGCCCTGCACAAATCACCGGGCACTGGTGGGTGCAGATGGCAAAGCACGTGTGGAGAAAGGGTCGCATGGAAAGCCATGAATTGGGGGAGTAGAGAGAGAGAGATGAAAGGAGAGAGAGACTGAAGACACACGATCACTTTTTAGAGGGAGCGTACCCTACCCCCCATGAATAAGGACTTCTCACTGGACCCTACCACTTACATATCCAAACAACTTCCTGGTACTGCCCTTGTAATCACACTCTTATATATCAAACTTTGAGAGACGCTTATCCAAACTATAACGTTCCTTCGTGTAGCTCAAAAGCCCGCACAAGGTGCTCTAAACCACTGTTGATGAGAATGTAAGCTAGTACAATGATTATGGAAGACAGCATAGAAATTCCTTAGACATCTGAAAACTGATCTACCATACGACTCATCTATCTTACTCCTGGGGCTTCAGCCCAATAAAATGAAATACACAAGAGAGAACTATTTGCATGCCTATGTTTATTGCATGAGAGCTAGGAGATGGGATCACGCCTGTCTGTTACTGCATGACAGGATATAGACAATAGAGTTCATATCTGCTATGGAATCCTACCAAGCCCTAAAAAAAGAAGGAAATCATACTTTTGGTGACAAAATGGGCACAACGGAAAATCATTATTTGTAAAAAATATAATCCAGACAGAAAAAGACATATCATCTGTTTTCCCTGACCTTTGGTAACTAAGGCACAGAGTAAGCAAAATGTAATCTATGTAACGGAGAATGACATTTTGGGGTGTGGTCACTGTTTTCAGTCTTTGTCCTCTAGAGCAATCTTCAATTTTCCACTTTCTCTGTGTTGCTAGCTTTAACTAATTGAGTATTAAGCCTCTGATGCAGACAGAAGGAGGGAGGGTAGGGATTGAAACTACGCTCCTTAGTCCGTATTGTGAAGTACGGGAAGTTTGTTCATTTTATGTTAATCAAATAGGATTTTTAAAAGGGCCTGTGTCGATCTAATAATTAAAATGCCCTCATTCCACTCTCCAGTGACCTGAGGATCTCCCCCTAGGGCCTCCTCTTTAAAGACAATAGAATTGGGCCTGGTGCTATAGCCTAGTGGCTAAAGTCCTCACCTTGCATGCACCTTGATCCAATATGGCCACGGTTCTAATCCCAGCAGTCCCACTTCCCATTCAGCTCCCTGCTTGTGGTCTGCAGAAGCAGGTGAGGATGGCTCAAAGCCTTGGGACCCTGCACCTATGTAAGAGACCTGGAAGAGGCTCCGGGCTCCTGGTTTCAGATCAGCACAGCTCTGGCCATTGTGGCTGCTTGGGGAGTGAATCCTTGGTTGCAAGATCTTCCTCTCTGTCTCTCCTCCTCTCTATACATCAAACTTTACAATAAAAATAAAATAAAGAAAACAGAATTGCCAACCTAGGAACCAAGCTTTGACACCTGGAACTCTAGAAGTTTTACAAAATGAGGCATTTAGCTTAACATAAGAGTAAGTGACGTGGATGGTCCAAGGAAACGCTAAGGAGAAAGCCAGGGATAATTCCAATGGAATACAAGCATACACCAATGTGACTGCCCTTCCCGCCATGGAGCATGACTGTCACTCCAAAGCTTGTGTTGGCATGTATTGCCCAAGAGGATGGGAAGCTCATGTGACACTGGTGTGATATGATCTTTCAGAGGGGATCGAGATATTAGATAAAGTCATCGCATGTCCTTGATTGCATACCAGTGACTTTATAGGAAGAGAGCTAAAACAAAGAAATGCACGTTCTCCCAGTCTCCTGCCAAGGCCAAGTCTCCTGTAAGGCCAAGGCCTTCACCAGGTGTGGTCCCTGGAATCTTCATAATCATGAGCTAAACGAACCTCTCAGGAGACTAAGACCACAGCTGACCTTGACACTCCAGGGCACATCTCACCACAGAGACACCAATTTGAGCAGCAATTCATGCACTTTTAGAAGAGCCATGGAGGAGACAAGTGTCTTACTTGTCTTGCTTTAGCATAGTTACGTCTCATTAAAGAATGTCAAAAGGACAGTTGCCTGTGCTACCCCCACCCCAATAAGGACAGGACAAGTATTCTCTAAGCAGGAGGGGGAGTTTAAGCCCATAGATTTATTCCCAAAGCCAGGGCTACTGTGATAGCATTCAGGTTAAGACAGAGTCATGGCCACTGCTCCTTAGGAACCATATGCAGAATGACTGTTTGAACTCTACGTAGCCACTGCCCCACCCAAAATCCCAAAATTGGGAAAAGATTCCTTGTGCTATAAAGTAGAAGAGAAGAGGGATTTAGGTTTGAGATCAGATTCTTGTGCACAATCATGAGGCCCAATAACTGTAAACCCAAATTTTCTATGTCTGGGATTGCCCTGCTGGATTCGGCTGACACTGGGAATAAGCCCATCTTCTGGTGGGACTTAATTGCCTGCCAGGTGACACCACTGTCCCCATGAAGGCTGGTATATAACCCTGGAAACTCAGGGAGACTTGTGATTATGGAGCCCATGCATTACTGAGTCTGCTGCCACCCAGAATGGGTAGAGGGACTGGCATTATCATCTTCCTTCAACCTTAGATAAACGTGAAGGAACTGAAGAACTATTTTGTGACTCCATAACCAGCAGATAAAGCTTGGTCTTGAAGCTAGCAAATGCCCTGGCTTCTGGTTTCAGTCGGGCTCAGCTCAGCCATTTGTGGCTAGAGAGTGAACCAGCAGATGGAATAAATGATCTCTCTCTCTCTCTCTCACACACACACACATTCTGCCTTTTAATTATATACATATATAATTATATTATTATATAGTGTTATGTAAATTAAATATATAATATATGGGTATTGATATAGATATATATAAATATAATTATATAAATATTGTACAAATTGTATGAGTATTATGTATTTCTGCCTTTTCATTGCATGTAATGTATAGCTAATTAAATATATATGTACGTATTCATGTGTCTGTGTGTGTGTATATAAAACCATGGATGGAGAAAGCCAAGGTCAAGAATCAGGCACTTCATTCAGACCTCCCACATGCATAGGGGTAAGCCAAGTACTTGGACCATCTTCTGGTTTTCCCAGACCATCAGCAAGGATCCAGATTGGAAGCAGAGCAGTTGGGACTCAAACTGATGCCCGTATGGATGCCAGCATTCATATATGTATGTTTGATATACATACATACATACAATATATGCTACAGTAACTGAAGAAGTATAATTATAGCTCAAAATGAAATCATAGCCAATAAAAGAGTACATTCCCAAGAAATAAAGCCATGCATCTACACCCAACCCATCTTTAACAAGCATGCTAAGAACATGAATTGGGAAAAGGAAAATTCTGGGCATGCATTTTGCTAGGAAGATTGAATATGTAGGAATACAAATCTAGATCATACCCCTGTCTCACATTGTAAAATGATATGAACAGAAAATGGATGAAGAATCAAAGTCCTGGCTGCTATCTTGTGTCCACCTGTGTGCATGTGTGCAACTAGTCTCAGCTGGTCTGCGTAAGAGACCCATAGACCAATGCTAGTTCCCTGTGAGGCCACATCATCCTATTTCCTCTGGGACAGGATGAAAGAAACTCTCAAGGAAAAAGGACAAACTTGCCAAATATTAAGCACAAGTGCACATTCTTAGGAAAGGATGGTTCCTAAGAAGATGGTTCATGGGGTAGAGACAAAGATGAGCACTTGAGCTCTGAATGAAATTGAGGGGTAAACAATGCCTCTGATATTGAAAAGGAGAACCACACCCAGAGAATCCCCTGTCCATCCAACATACTGAAACACGTGTTGGTGTATTTCTCTAGCAGTTGTGAGGCATTCGTTTGTACAACAATTCTGTCATTTCAAAATAAGATGTTGGTCCAGTCGTTAGATATTCTCAGTGCTGTGAGGCTTAAGTGTTTAACAGAATTTGTGATTCGCTTCTGCAATCAAGATAATTATAACTCTTCCTCTGTAATGATAAATGATGGTAAAGTTAGCAGTTGTACACACTTGCAAAAAGGTGGTAATATCTGTCCTTCAAAGTAATTTTGAAGTTTGTCTTATTTCTACAGAGATTGATACAGAACCCTTGACAGATATCATTGGAAAAAGCGTAATCAAGGAGTCCATCAAGACACAGCTAAAGAGCCATCCTGGTGAGGACAAGACTTTTTCAAGTTAATATTTGTTTTCTTTATATTGCTAGAGTTAATTACATGAATGCCTCTAATAACAACAGCATATATATGTGTGTATAAGATAATTAGTATTCAATGGGTAAATTACTCATTAGCATGCTCCTATAACTGAATTGCAGTGTTATCAAATATTGGACAGATATGTTTGATTTTAGGTTGGTGTTAAAACTTTAACAAACTTAAAAAGTAATCATGCTTTGCTTATCTTAGAATAGCCTTCAGGGATTTCACGTGCTATGGAATCTTCTTCATTTGCTGTAATTTCTATCTGCTCTCACTGTGGAAGGAGAGATGTCATGTACAAAGTGTCATGTGGAGACAGATGTTTCGTGGAGAGAGATGGAGATTGAGAGAGAGAAAGAGAGAGAGTGTGTATTGTCACATGACGAGAAAGGTATCTTAAGAGTGAGGGATTGTAAGCAGACAGAGGTGTTCTCTGGAGAGGTGTTTGAGAAAAAGTATGTCACATGGAGAGAGATGTCAAATGCTGATGAAGTCTTTCCTTGTAGACATAAAGATGCCAGGTGGTGAGAGTTGTCTTGGACAAAGATAAATGTCTCTTCAAGAAAGGTTATCCTATAAACAGATACATGTCATGTGGAGGGGTGTCACGTGGTAAGAGATACGTCTTTGGGAGGCAGAAGTGTCACCTTGTAAGAGAGGTTTTACATGTCATGTGGTAAGAAGATTGTCACCTGGTGAGAGAAACGTTACACAGAAAAGGGAGTATGACACGGAAAGTGAAGTGTCACATAAGAAAGCGTAGTCATATGATATGAAAAAACAAAACAAGAAATAGTTTCTATGCTGACTGTTCGGATACATCTTTCTGTGATGAAAATTCAAGCCAGTATATTTTTATCTCACAGTAGAGTTCCTCATTGGTGTGATCCGTTTCAGAAATTATAGTACTGCCTTTCTTCCTAAATTAATAGCCTTGGGAACGATTTCCTTGTCATTTTAGCTGTATCACTAAAAGAAGAGTCAGGGCCAGGAACCTTCTCCTTCACAGGCGCTGTGTGCGTTGTCAGAGAATTTACCACTTGAGCCTCACACTGCAGGGCAAAAAGGCTGCAGAAAATCCCAGTCTCATCACCCTCCCCCCCCCAAAAAAAATCAGAGAAAACAGCAGTCAGCTCCAAACAGAGGAGGGAGAGGAAGAAATAACTATATGGAGATGCTCCCGCGCGCTTTCTGAAAATGTTGATTTTGAGAAAAATAATCGGCCTGCAAGGAAACAGTAAAACATGACTGTATCAATAAAATAAAAACAAGCAAAATGAATGTGACTTGAGAGAAAAGAGATGAGGCTTGACCAACGAAGTATTTTATGTCCACAGAGATCTATGCAGAACACTTGGCAGGTGCCACTGGAATTGGTAAAATAACTGGTGACATCAAGTTTCAACCAAAGGGTTACCCAGGTAAGAAAAATAATTTACAAATCCAATATTTGTGGTTTGTTTATCTTCTCTGGAATCAATTTAAATATGTGTCTCCAGTGTTGACACTGCATGAACAAACGTTTCATACATTCGCTATTAATCAAACTCTAGTATTTTTGTCACCAGTGAAAAATTAGCTGGTTATTACGGGTTTTAAAACTTACCCACTTAAAAAAAAACTTAATAAAATGAAGTGCTCTATTGGTGTTAACATTGCATGATGCATTGCTGGTGTTGTGGAACAGCAGGTAATATTGCAACCAGGGATGCTGGCATCCTGTATAGGCCCTGGTTTGTGTCCTGATTGCTCCACCTCTAGTCCAGCTTCCTATTAATGACGTGCAAAAAGCAGTAGAGTGGCCTATTTGGGGGGGCCCTGCTACCTACAAAGGAAGCCTGGAAAAGCTCCAGGCACCTGGCTTTTCACTATCCCAGTGCTAGCTCTTGAACCTTCTGGGGAGTGAAAACCAACTCACTGTGTTTTTCATTTTCTACATATATAAAATTATGCCTTTCAAATCTATTTTTCATAGAAAAGAAGTTGGTGATGATTATCTTTCTAATGGCAGTACACCCATTTTTTAAGTAGGTAGGTAACTTGAAATGCAGGGTTAAAGAGAAAGCTCTTCTATCCACTCTTCCTAAGGCCACAGAGCTGGAACCAGGTCAGGCCAAAGCTAGAAGCCTGGAATTCCTTCCGTTCTCCTATCTGTGACAGGGACTCAAATACTTAACATGGAGCTGCATCAGAAATAGATGACCTGGGACTAGAACTGGTGCCTATATGCGACAGTGGTGCTGTATGTAGAGGTTTAGCCCACTGTACCACAACACCATCTACCTTTGTTCTCAATTTCAGGCTTACTTTGGAAAACTGCCTTGGATTTTTAAATGCAGGTGGTCTAAATGATAAATATAACAAACATTATAGCAGTTATTTCATTAGCTACCCTTTTTTTTCATAGAATTAAATTTGTATACAAATTTATAATTTCTCACCTGAAGAATTTTAGTCCTGTCTTAAGTTCCAGATTCTTTTGCTGCCATTGTCCTGGAATTACTGGTACACATACTTCTAGATTCTGCAAAGGCTGTAGGTTTCCTACTTGTTTCAGAGTTGATTCTAAAGCTAATATTTGCAACCTAAGGCTGCAGAGGTTGTCTTGCCCCTTCCATCATGTGAGGACTAGTCAGTAGGGCACCAACTGTGAGCCAGAAAGTCATTCCCTGGAAGGCATCAAATCCACACTTGCCCAGTCTGAAGAATTATCACTCTGTCTTCAGATAAAACACAAAAATCTAGAAGCAAGCCAGGTTGCCATAAGTTTTATTCTGAATGCTAATATTTGTCTCATCGATGCATATTTTTTATTGCTGAAGGAAAAGCATTTCTAAAAATCAATGTAATAAAATATTTATTCAGATGGCTTATAACTGATAAGCTTGTGTTGGAAAAAAAGGACTATTTGAATCAAGCATTTGTGTTTTCTATTTTTTATTTTATTTGAGATAGGCAGAGATCTCCCATTCATGGGTTCACCCATAGCAGCTTAGCTAACTAGGCCAAAGCGAGGAATCAGGAATTCTGTGCAGGTGTCCTGCATGGGTACTCTCTTCCAAGGTGTGTGCTAGCAGGAGCTCAGTAGGGAGCTGAAGTGTGGGTGGTGTGCGGACTGTCCGCGTGGGATGTGGGATTCTCCCTTGAGGCTAAATGCCACTCCCTGTTCTGTCTTTTTTCACTCTGGCCTATGTGATAGCATATGAGGAGGCATCTTCTGTCTCAGCTTTCATTTAGGGCATTTTGTTTAAATTACTTTCGATTGAATGTTTCTTAATAGAATTCTTGTCACGCTTGAATATAAATCCTAGCTACAGCAGTAATAAGCTTTCATATGAGGTTAGTTCACTTCAAATACCAATATTTCAAGAACTGCTAGGTTATGGCAGCTCCACTTGGTTCCTTCAAGAAAAAAAAAAAAAAAGAAAGAAAGAAAGAAAAAGAATTGCTGGATTCACTAGCCTATCCTTGTTTGTTAAAATCAGGAGTGTAAAAAAAAATGCTCTAAAAGAGATTTTGAAATGCAAATTTGTAAGAGACAAAGGTTTGAAAGATTACAGATCAAACAAAATGAAGGAGCTTCTTTAAAATATACTGGGTTTGTGATTAAGATAAAAATCGAGGAAGATACTTTCCAAAGAAAGGAGAAAAACTGATGAAACACTTTTCATAAACTGGGAACAACAAGTAGCCATTCAGTAAATTCTGGGAAGAAAACGTTGCAAATACAGCAATGAAAACTGAAGTAGACATACAGGAGATAGTGTGTGAGCCATCACACCATCCCAGTATGCCTTTTCTCTTTCAACTTTGTTCTAGGTGTCAATTTACTTAGAAACAGAGGTGTACTCACACAAGAAGATAGTTTTATCAAGCCCATTGCACCAATGAAGTTAACCAAATCAGCTTTGGACCACAAAGGTAAAAGTTAGTGTGTACTAATATGATAAATAGACGTGTAAATTACCTAGGATAGTTTTTCTGGTGAGCTTTTTAGCTTTAGTATTGGCGAAACTTTTAGACATCTGTAAAATATATAGACTGTCTCGGTTGATGCTGATGTCATAGAGACACCTTGAACTTGCGGGAGACACACCACATATTTCTCTCTCTCACAGTCCAGAACGTGGATAAGTCTAACATCGATGACCTGGAGGAATCAAAATCTGGTGAGTGCTGCTTCTGCTCTGTGGTCCGTCTGTGCGTCCATGGATGGGGGTTTATCCATGGATGCTCTGTGGTCCGTCTGTGCGTCCATGGATGGGGGTGTGTCCATGGATGCTCTGTGGTCCGTCTGTGCGTCCATGGATGGGGGTGTGTCCATGGATGCTCTGTGGTCCGTCTGTGTGTCCATTCATGGGGGTGTGTCCATGGATGCTCTGTGGTCCGTCTGTGTGTCCATTCATGGGGGCGTGTCCTGAATTCCTGATTATCTCCTAAGGACCCCACATCCTGCACCATCACAGTGATGCTTAAGGCTCTTAAACTGGGCAGCCACAGCAAAAGCAAACATAAAATTTTGGCCGTACTGGGCCATTTCTCACTGCCATAATCTCATCCTCTCCTTTCTCGTAAACTGTGTTTATGATGTTCTCTGCAAGTATTTTCCAAAACTCTTTGGTTTCAGTCTCCTCTATTGTAGAATTCTCCCCATTTGGGGGACCCCTCATATTTTATAAAATCTAGTCTCCAAAACCAAATGTTTGTATCTCCTCGAATCTAGCATTTATGTTTCACATTTCAACAGTAGTTCGCAAATATATTTTAATGTTCATTTTACTTACTAGAATGAAGTCATTTGGAGTGCATTGTTTTCTCTAACACATATACCCAAAATTACATCTAACTCACACTATGAAAATCCAATGAAAGAGCTTCATGCAGCAGTCTTGCAGGGACATTTTAATGAAAATAATATGAAAAATATACAGTTTTGAGGTCGTAGGGCTTTCATTCATACATGAATATTTTAGTGATTTATAAGTGCTGCTCATCTACCCATGTCTGAAGCTGTGGTTTCTGAAATAAATTATGTCAACAAAAATTTGTTCTCTGGATGCTATTCACTTATAGCCTCTTTTAAACTCTTGGTCTCTGATTTCAGGGATTACTAAAAAAAATGAGGTGTTCATATTTTCCGTATAAATACACAGTTTCCATAATAAAACGTTACTTTTATAACAAATGCACTTGTGAAGAAGCTAACCAGCAGTGGTGGAATTGAGTCCTAAGGAATCCAGCACTTTATCCAGCACTTGGTGCACCAAACTGAGTGCTGAAACTGTCCTTTCAGACATGGACTACAGACCTAATACAGAACCGAGTGTTTGGCTCAAAGTGCAGTGTAATTGGGTACAGATCCAAAATATGGAGGGTACCCTCTCGTGCCACAGAATGTGCACCCACAGAAAGATCACACACAGAAGGAAGTCTCACGTGACACTGGAGCGTCACTCACGAACCACGCAGTGTCTGCATTTTCACAGTGAGGGAGTTGGACCCACCGAAGGAACACTCACACAGCGCGGAACAAAGACAGAAAAAGAGAAACGGTGAAACCTTTAAAGACACTACAGCAGCGGGCAAGCAGCCATTCAATAAGATATGGGGGGAAATTTAACAGGTGTAGAATTACAAGACAGTTCATTGACTTTGAGGAGCTATGTGAGAATGGACTTGGCATTCGTATGTTGCTTTTGCTGTCTAAATTTTGTTTATTTTAGGTACAAGCTTATTTAAATACAAGAATAGTTCCGTAGAATATCGTGATAGTATTTTTTCAAGACGCATTACACCAAGTAAATTCCCAATGAATGTGATCAACTTATCTCCTTTTGTAAATCAAGGTAAGAGGTTAAGGGTGAAGACAAGAAGGGATGTACTTGCTAGAAGAGTTTTGTGCCCTTTGGTAACGCTTCTTGCATCATCTTACCTTTTGTTCATCAATACGTTAGGTAAATTCTTCAGACCTTAAGGTATAACAACTCTGATATGTATGGGCAACATTATACTTCAATGGATAGGGGATTTGTTCCGTTGTCATTTCATTAAGGAGTATTGAGTTTAAGTTTTCATGCTGCTAGGTATATTCATAAACACACTTGTACTTTACTTCTTGGGAATATTGTGCCAGGGTTATTTTTTTTTTCTTGGCAAAATGTACATGGGTTTTCATGCTAAGAGGTAACCTGTATTGTAGGTACTTGTGCTGAGAAAAGCATTTTCTTCGGAAGATTGGTCATGAAAGTGTTTATTTTAGTTAATCAGATTACGTACGTGTGATGTTACTGTACAGCTACCTACCACAGCGACCATGTATGTAGCTGGTGATTGGGGTGTCAGATGCCTGGACTGGCCTGCTGTGACAGGTTCCATCCATGTGTTCAGCAATCTGGTGGCTGTTGTTCGGGGTGATGGGGCCAGCAGCTGGTATCCATCTAGGAAATAGAAACTTGGCTAATTTTGAAAAGAGAGCAAAGGCAGTGTCTAGCAAGAATATAAGTATACTGCATTAACTGGCTAAATGAAAGTGTACAAAGAATTCTGCTTATATGGAGAAAGCAGTTCAGGAAAAAAAAATTAAAACCCCTGGAACTGGAGGAAATTGGTAGCAGCTCACTTCTTTGGCAGGAGAGATCTCAGATTTGCCCGGGAGAGGGGTCCTGGCTACCTGCTGCTAGTGTAAGGGAATTGGAAGAGGTTATATAGCTATAAACTATGTGATGCCATGGAAGGACTGAAGGAGTGTTGCCAGGGATTTGTTCACAAGCCTGAGGAGCCAGAGAGGTCTTAGAAATCTCCTGGGACTGACGTTCTGTGTTTGTGATTTCCATGCTCTCTTTCTGTTTTGTACTTGTCGATGCACTCATAACTACCAAACAGCAGAGAAGGAGGCATCAGACTCAAAATGTGTATGTTAGCTGTTATATCTAAATTGCTGGGAAAAAAAGGAAGCTGTTGAGAAAAGTTTTTTTTTTTTGATGTTGAGATTCATAGAATAATTCAATAACACTCTTCTTATTATTAGTACAATCTGGAAATGTGAAAGTAAAGCAAAAGACTGTTGGATTTACAAATGTTCTGCCTGCTATGATCTCTGTGTCTAAGAAGCCCATTTCTAAAGGTGAGATGTTTACTATAACGCAAATTAGTAATGTAACTATGTGGTGAACTCAAGTACTATCTGTCCAACAAACTCTTCAAATCTGTGGACCCTCCACCAAACATCAGTGTTTCAAGGAACTGCTTTTCCCACAGGGGTTGATATTGAGTTTCTCCACCCACTGGTTCACTCCCCAGATAGCCACAGGGGCCAGAGCTGAGTTGATGATAAGCCAGGAGCTTCTTCCGGTTCACCCATATGAGTGCAGGGTACCAGGGGTTTGGGCCATCCTCTGCTAGTTTCCCAAGCCATAGCAGGAAGCTGGATCGGAAAGTGGAGCAGCCAGGATACAAACTAGTGTTTATCTGGGATCCAGGCAGACGGAGTATTGGGTTGTTATACCACTGCACTGGTTCCATGTGAACACACTACACTCACTATACATGGCAAAATGAACAGTTGTGTTATATATAACTTACCAGAACATTCAAATAAACCGTTAAGAATAAAACTAAATGCAAAGGAAAAAAATACAGTTTCAGTGGAAGTTACTTATATTTCATGAAAAAGAAACATATTTTATGGTTTTATTGGCACTTTTTTCAGTTGTCTATATTCTTTACATATTATTCTACTAGTTCTTTTTTTTTTAATTGTAGAAGCTCTTTGGGTATTGGATTTTTAAAACTTTCTTTTGTTTTAATCAATGCACATTTATCAAGAAATTGAAGAATTCCTGGGAAGAGTACCATGCATCCTTCGTACAGACTAACCAGTTGCCCTACTGTGCCATTGTGTGTTCTCTGCTTTCACATCTATGCATCAATTTTAAAGAGTTCATAGAAAATGAAATTTAAAGATCAGCTTGCTTGGGTGCAAAACATTGGAATTTTTTTCTGAAATCCATAAATATTCCTAAAATAACAGATTTTCTGTTTTTAATGGAATTTTTAAATTTTTTGATTAATCAACTGAGATCAGATTTCTTGATCTCATAGCTCCAGTTCTAAAAAGATAATCACACTGTCCTCCCTCACTCTCCACTGTAGTCCACTTCCTGCCTCCCTTTTTTTAATTTATTCAAAAGAACAATTTTAATCCGCTCTGTAACCATATTAATGCGCAACTAGCCATAACATTCAACAGATTAAAAAGGCTAGAAAGACCACAGCTCCATAGGTGCTCCTCCTTCTGTTTACAGTTTTCACAGGCCTTGCTTATGTTTTCAAAAGCATTAGCAAATATGCACACACTTTTTCTACCATTTTTAGATTGGGTTTGCTTTATTACTGCTGAGTTGCAAGAGTAATTGGTACGTTTCAGGTACCAGTCCAATGTCAGACACATATTTTTTTAAATATTTATTCATTTTTATTACAAAGTCAGTATACAGAGAGGAGGAGAGGCAGAGAGGAAGAACTTCTGTCCGATGATTCACTCCCCAAGTGAGCTGAACGGCCAGTGCTGCGCTGATCCAAAGCGGGGAACCAGGAACCTCTTCCGGGTCTCCCACTGGCGGGGGGAGGGTGTGCAGGGTCCCAAGGCTTTGGGCTGTCCTGCTGTGCCAGGCCACAAGCAGGGAGCTGGATGGGAAGTGGGGCTGCAGGGACTAGAACCGGCGCCCAAATGGGATCCTGGCACGTTCAAGGCGAGGGCTTTAGCCGCTAGGCCACGCCGCCGGGCCCCAGACATATTTCCTGTGGACATTTTCTTCCTGTCTGACTTATCTGATCGTTCTTCTTGGCAACATCTTCACAAAGAAGCTCGTTTACTTTCACAGTAAATTTCCACTTGTCACTTCTTTCTCTCGGACACCTTTGGTATCTTATCCAAAAACTTGCTGCCAAATCCGAACGCACAGATTTTCTCTTTGTGTCTTCTAAAACTGTCACAGTTCTACCTGCTGCATTCTGAGTTAGCTTTTGTAAAGAGTGGAAGCCTGCCTCAGGAATCATTTTTGGCTTGTGGGTGTGCAGCTGCTGTACCGCCGTTTGTCAGGGAACGCCCTGTCTGTGTAGCACTCTGCTCCCTTTCCCTCCTGCAGAGGGCAGCTGGCTCTGGCGCTGTCCTCCCTTTCAATTCTGCCTCTCTCTGTGTCCTTCCACTAAGCATTGAACTTTGTCAATCATTGTGGCTTCTTGAAGCATCTTGAACGCAGGTGTTGACAGCCTGTTGACATTGTCCGTTACTTTATTGGCCATTTCTACGTCTTTTGCTTCTTGATACAAATTTAGGATCATTTTGTTAACATCCATGAAATAATTTGGTGAAATTTTTGTTAGGATTGCGCTGAACCCACGTTGAGTTTGGAAGAACTAGTGGTATCTTGACAGTGCTTACTCTTCCTCTCCATAACCATGGAGCGTGTCTCCATTGATTCAGAATCTTGAAGCTCTCCACATAAAGATCTAATGCAAATTTTGTTAGATTTGTGCCTAGTTGTCTCAATTTGGGGATACTAATAAAATGATAATGTGCTTTCAATTTCAACTTCCATTTCTCCATTGCTGATATGTGATGTGTCTTTTATGTGTTAGAAGTGCATGTTGTATGTTATTGTACTAGATGTGTCCATCATTGTGTGGTTTGTGTTCCCATCGTGTGTCATATGTTCACCTTGTGTGTTGTAGGTATCATTATGTTCTGCAACTTTACTATGACTGATTATTCACTCCAGGTTTTTGCTTATTTTTTTCAAATGTTCTTCATAAATCATCATGTTATTCTGCAATAAATTGCTATATTTTCTCTTATAGTCTGTATACCTTTGTGCTCTAGTCTTACTGATTATGCAAGAGTGACAATGTGTTGCTAGTAGGGGTGTCAGGAGGTCATGTTCTCACCTATTCACAGCAAGAAAACTTGAACTTCCATTGCTGAGTGACATCAGCTGTGGGTTCATCCCAGTTAGGAGATGCCCTTCTGCTCATGCAGTGCTGAAACATCTTGTCGAGAATGTGTGTATCATTTTGTCATCTATGAACATGAACTTGTACTTTTCTCTTTGACTCAAGTAATATAAGACATGACATCTGATAATGTCTTTAATATACTGGCCTTGCATGCCAGGGATAAATGCCTCCTGGCTATGACATATGATTGTCTTCACACTTTGCTGGAGTCAATCTGCCAATACTATGTGGAGAATTTGTGCATCAGTGTTCATGAGACATATGGTGTTTAGTTAGCTCTCATTTCAATAGTTTGTAATTAAGTGTTGCACTTAGATGGTTTGTGTGTTGAGTTGACCCAGATTTAGTGACTGTGAGTGTTTAAAGCTGATGCTTTACACAGTCCTTTTCTCAATCACACTTTTACTCACCTGCCCCAGTCATGTGGCCTGAATAAGTCTGAGTCTTTTTTTCAACAAGGCCCTGTCACTGTTGACACACTTCTCTTGTTTTCTGGCATGACAAGTGGTTTGAAGGTATTATAGGCATCTCCTATCCAGACACTTAATGATCTTTTTTTTTTTTTAAGAAGGCTTGGCTCATGTTAGTGGAGAAAAGCATTTGGAAACCCAGTTGTGCATGCCAGGTATATTTCTTCCCTGCTGATGTGTCCTAAGAGCAGAAGCCAGAGCGCAGATATATTTACAAATCCTGAGCTTGTGAAGGCTTCTCTCCAGTTCAGTATTTTATAGGACTAACTTTTCACTCCACTTCCCATATTTAAAATTGCTTTCTTCAAAAACAGGAAAACATGATAGCTATTAATATCCTGGCTCCTTGGCTTAATCTTGAAAATGCAAGGAATGTACAAGCTTATGCTACCACTTAAGACACCAGTGAAGACATCTGTATTCCATATCAGATTACCTAGGTTCAGTTCCAGGTCACTACCAACTGGGTTTCTAAATGCTTTTCTCTACTAACATGAACCAAGCCTTCTTAAAAAAGAGATCATTAAGTGTCCGGATAGGAGATGCCTATAATAGCTTCAATGACCCTGGATCCTTACCATACATGTGAGAGCCATTGATGGAGCTCCTGGCTTCTGGCTTTGGTATAGTCCCAGCTACTGTGAGCATTCAGGAGTAAATTCTGTCTCTGTTTCTCCCTCCCTCTCTCCTTCTCTCTCTCTCTTTCTTTCTCTCTGGGTGTTGAATTTAAAACAGATGGCCATTTGGTATAGTATTTAGAATGCCACTTTGGATGCCCACATCCCATACTGAAGTGAATTTTAGTCCCAGCTCTGCTCCTGATTCTAGATTTCTGGCACTGCACATTCAAGGATGGTTCAAGCACTTGGGTTCCTCACATCAATTTGGGAGAGCACCTTTAAGTCAGAAGTTCTGAGGTTTGAGTCCCAACAGTTGTTTGTATTAAGTCCTCTGCATGATGCTGGCAGTGACTGTAGCCAGAGAACCACTGTTTTAGCTTCACTGAAAGTGAAGTATTTCCCAGTAACTTCTCTACATAAAAAAATAGTGAAGAGTTGTACACTACTTTTCTGTTTTCATAGTTTGTGTTTGCCATGATGCAGATACAGTAAGATTATAGCAACTGCTGGCAATTAATTTCTTTACAGCATTACATACCACCAGACGGAAGTCTTCGGCATATCCACACTTCAAAGAATGAAGTGAATTCTGAGCAACATAAAGAACATGAACAAATCCATGGACACAGCATTGAACATTTCATATGTGACGGTCTCCTAAATATAATGCATAGCAGGTGAGTTGAGTCTGTATGCGTTGAGTCACTCTCTCTTCTTAATGTCTTTTAAATATAAATCTTAAAAATGCTACTTCTGTTCAAAATATTCATGCTTAAACGTTTCATACCCAGTTTCACAAAGGAAAGAAAGAGAATTGAATGACCAAAACCTGACCGATGAGTGTAAGTGCAGTTGCTCCACAATTTGCTATGGTATAAAATACATCTCAAGAATTATCAAGGTAGGATATTTGCCACATGTTCTATATCAAAGAAATGTTATTTTATCCACATTTTTGCTGTTTGCTGGAAAGAATCAATGTTCCTGGGTAAGATTTCTTAAATCATGTCTGGTATGCAGATTTAAGGATGCATTTGTGTGTGTGTGTGTGTGTGCTTTCAAGGTCCTATATTCTCTAGTAAGAGTGAAAGCAGTGAGTAGTACTATTCATCTAAATATTTTGTAGTTCTGTTTTGTGCCCAAATTAATAAGAAAGTGGATTCATACTGAAACAATAGTAAGTGAAATAAAATTAAGATGATTCTTTCCTCCTTAATCCCTCAGTGTGAACATTCCACTTTTATGTGTGATAAGCCATCTATGGAAAGGAACGGTTAGGAATTGAATATGAATTAGCAATTAGTGTACAAAAACTAATCGAGTAATTCTTTTTTTTATAATTCTCTAAAACAAGGAAAAGCTCCTGAGATATGTTAAAGATGAATCAGATCAGTCATTCAGAAAGAAATCAGAATAACTTCATACAGCAAGTATACTTCAGAGAAACATAATTCAGAGAGGAGAGGGGAGGTGGCTGTTACATGTCTCCAATAATTTCGTGTGACTAAAAGGGGAACTGCACTTCTGTCAAGTTTTTTTAGGGTAGTCTGGGGGCTGCCCAAATCGTAACCGTCTGGGAAGTTGCGGTTCCAGCAGGCTTCTCTGCAGGACAAAGTAACTTCTCTGCTTCAGAAACACTCTTCAGTGTCAGAAAGACTCACGTGATTAAACAAGCTAACCTTTGTGCTAAGGTATTACTTCCCAAGCCCATCTTTTCTGCAAGGTTCCCCCGTGGCGCTGGATCTCTGCTGTCATTTCCAGGCCCATTCACCCAGTTTCTCTGCTGAGATTGTAGCAGATGGCCATTCAAAGGAGTCAGCTGGCCACAAGAACCATTTATAAACAGTGGCATTGGAGGGTTACTTGTTCGTTTATCCAGATGTTGTAACTTCTGGTAGAGGGCCCCTCAGACAGATTCCTTCTCAAATGACTCCTTCTCAGTGTTTTTTTCTCAGAGACTATCTGTGTCGTAGAAATTATGGACACATTCCTCTCCCGGCACTCCCAACAGAAAGTTCTGTGATCAGAGAGGAGTTCTCTGACCACCTCCTCCTGTGTGGGAATTGCAAGCTGTGTGTGACTATTTGTCTCTTGTGGTGTGGCTGTTGTGACTGAGAGTTTGTGCTTTTATGTAAGTTAGAATGTCTGGATATGGCTTTAGACTCCTATGTTGGAGAACAGAGTTCCAGCATTCACAGTGGACTCATAGGTCACCAGGACCTGGGAAGGTGATTAGCTCTACAGAGCATTAGAAAAAAAAAATCTCCCTACTGCTTCTTGGCCTGAAAAGGTTCCCTGAACAAGTGGGAGCCCAGCAGGAGCAGGGCTTCAGCAGAGGTGCTGGCTGAGACAGAGATTATTTTAGGGGAACAAAGACAAAGGGAGTCAGCATCAAAGACAAAGGGAGTCAGCATCACCTAGAACCCTAAACAAAACTGGACCAAGAGCAGTGAAACAATGAAGCACCTCTTGGGAACACTGTGGCCACCATGAAAAATAAGGCAAATCCTTTCCCTAGAAGAGATCAGAAAAATATGCATTCAGGCATTAGATGTGAGGATGAACATGCAATGCATTCCCTCTGCATTCCCTCATAGCTCTAAGATAACACGGGCACTGGCTGCTTGCTAGTGATTCCAGGGCTGATAGAGCCACAGGAGGCAGAATGTCACGAGAGACTCCTAAGTACATTTTCAAATAGAAATACTGCTACTGGGCTTAGGCTTACTGCCTTAGACTCCTCAGGGACTCAGGATACACCTAGATGAAGTGCCCAGCTCCTGGCTTCTGATAGCCTAGCCTCAACTATGGGGACATTTGGTGGGTCAATCATACTTGGCACATTGCACTTGCACATTGTCACTGTATGCACCAAAATCAAGGAATATAGTAATTTCCTGAAGTGTTGCTCCCGAAAATACGTTACTGCTCAATCCAGGATTGAGCCAGCTGTGTTGTATACAGTGCAGATGTCCTTGCATAAACAGTGTCAGTAAGACCTCCCATGCTCTATAGACTGGATACCTCCCTCTGCTGTGCGGTACAGAGTAGACAGCTCCCTGTGCAGATGGGGCCACTGGGCCTGCTGTGCTGTATGGAGTGGGCAGCTCTCTGTGTATACAAGTTGTTGGGTTGCTGTGGTGTATGGAGTGGACAGCTCCCTGTGCAGATGGGGTCACTGTGCCTGCTGTGGTGTATGGAGTGGACAGCTCCCTGTGCAGATGGGGTTGTGCCTGCTATTCTGTATGGAGTGGACAGCTCCCTGTGCAGATGGGGTCACTGTGCCTGCTGTGCTGTATGGAGTGGGCAGCTCCCTGTGTATATATCATTTCTGATGTCCTAAACATTTACACCTGTATTGTCTCCAAGAGTTGATCCAGGAGCTCTCAGAGGAGCAGAGAGTAATCTGACTGCCAGCATTCAGCCCCATAGCATGTCATAGATTTATACCATGATCAAGCAAGGATCCTGCTTCCTTTTCAAGGGAACAGTTTGCTCTGGTGACGGCCTAAGTAACTTTGCCCCTCCTTTGTTGGTTGTTGGCTGACATTTTACACAGAGGCCTGACTTCAGAGATAAAAGCATGCTCATTTTGCAGTCTGTGGGTGCCAGTAGATGATTGCTTAGTTCCTTTTACAATGGTAGAAAACTACCTTGCCTCCGAGATAGACAATGATAGCCAGTATGTTGTATTTTTAATCTATGTCAGTGACCACTGGTTTATCAAATAAAATTAGTTTTTAATTAGTTATAGGCAGTAATTGTAGTTTTCAGGGCATGGATTTTCAACAAAAATGACTGAATCCCTGGCCATGGAATCAGGCATATTAATCACTGGAATCCAGTGTATTTATAGCTTTTAACTGAGTGAGATCTTCATGCCTGGTACTTTAAAGTCTATCACTATTTTAAAGCTAAATTACAGAACTCGTGGCTGGTGGGTTCCCCAACTCATGGACTGTTACCTCTGCCCCCGCAGCCTCAGACTTAGAAGAGAAAGACAAAGGCAAAGGCAACGTGAGCGTTCTCTCCTCCTCACCCTTCCCGCACCTGCCCAGCTAGCCATGGAGGTGCAGAGGCACAGCTGGTAGGCTGCCAAGCTGGCTACCTGGGGTAAAATGACTTGATCCCTTAGAGCTCATATGGAATTCCCATTCTGCGAGTACAGCAACACCTGGCTCTTCTGCTGAGCACATGTCCCAGAGATGGATAGTGTGAATAGGATTTCAGGTCAAGTCTTTCAAAGCACATGCTCTTCATAGAAAGGACAAGGACAGAAAGCTCAGAAGCAGCAGGTGATTTATAGGAACACGGTCATCTCAACTCTTTGTTCCACGGTTGCTAAATCTACTCCGTGTCTCACCAGAAGGCCAAAGTCCATAAGCACCAGTCTCCCACCATTGTTAGAAGAACATTGTGATGAAACTTGTTTTTAAAAAAGAAAAAAAGTAAGGAAGACTTTGCTCAAGACCACTGTGTTAGCAGAGACTGCGTTGATTCCACTACAGCTGCTACTTGAAAGCTGAAGTTTAATGACGCAAGGGCACAGAACAGGGGTTAGTCAGTGGAAAATTCCTGAGACACTGGATATGTGGGTTCTCGCTAAACTGACTTTGTGGTATTCTGTGTAAGGTAGGCCAAGCATGAGGCTAGTTGTTAGCAGAACTAGGGGGGAGCCTAACGAAAGTTTGTTCAAAGAGATATTCTTTGTCAAAATCCAGCTGAAACAATCATTTTGTGTTAAGAGAACATCAGTGTTGAGAAACCAGGATTCTATATAACATTTTGAAAAATGCTGTGAGTCTAAAATGTGCTTCAGTGCCAAACATTGCACAAAACAGTGTGAGAGATGCTTGCACTGGGGGGACATAAGAAGATGAATTAAAAAGTACAATCATTTATTTGTTTCAGAATTCTTCTTTACTTTATGGAACTTGTTTGAGCCTCTGGAATTAATTCCTCTTTGTTGCTGATGATAAGAAAGGAGACATTCGCTGAAGTTTGTTTGCTTCTGTTCACTAATGTCCTTGTAGTCCCTCTGCTCTGGTGTAAAATCAATTAAACATAATTTGTGCTCTGCATGTTTTGAGAACATATGATTCTTTAAGTGTCATTATTTTGAAGTCCATTTGATTTGATCTTACATTAGAAAAAAATAATCTCCACACATTTCTTATACTTCCCATTAAAGAAGCTGATTTTACAAAGGAAAATGTCTGGTTTATTTTCTTCATGTTAAAAGTATAAATGCATTGAAGATAACTAAACCATATCTTTACATAACTGTTATTAAAACTGGTGCGATTTCAAGGACACTAAAACTTTATTTGAGCTTTGAAAGATATCTTTTGTAAACTGAAAATTTGTCCATGTGGTAATGTTATTAATATCAGATTTATCTGGTAATCTTTAAACTGACACCCAACTGTCACTGATCAACAGGGATATTAAAAAGGCCAAGAGGAAGATTACAAATATTGAGTGGCTTAGTGACCCATGTCTGAGTCTAACTTTTGGTCCTGGGAGTAATTGATTTTTTTTTTAAAGATTTATTTTTATTTTTATTGGAAAGGCGGATATACAGAGAGGAGAGACAGAGAGGAAGATCTTCCGTCCGATGATTCACTCCCCAAGTGAGCGCAACGGCCGATGCTATGCTGATCCGAAGCCAGGAGCCTCTTCTGGGTCTCCCACGCGGGTGCAGGGCCATCCTTGACTGCTTTCCCGGGCCACAGACAGGGAGCTGGAAGGGAAGTGGGGCTGCCGGGATTAGAACCGGCACCTATATGGGATCCTGGGTGTGCAAGGCGAAGACCTTAACCATTTGCGCCACCGCGCTGGGCCCAGTA